TAAATTGTATGTTGATTCTTAGGGTTTTTAGCATTGTTTTGATTAACCTCTTGTTTATTCTTCTACATCATCTCATGCACCATCTTATGCATCGTTTCTAACCCTTTTGCTAATTTTTATGAGGTAAAATATTAAGTTGTACTTTCAGCATTTTAATTTGGCTTTAAAGTTTCCTTTGAATATTATAATATTATATTAAGTGCCCCATCTCCCCAAGGTGGGAAAAGTTCACCCCCTCACCATAAACAATGTAATAACATAGGATGTGTATTTTGAATGCTTGTATGAGATGCATGCTAAAAAAGATAAAATCAAACAAATAGAAAACAATTTCAAAAATAAAGATAAAAATAAATCTTGATCCAACGTTAAACTATTTTCAAACTAAGTAATTGAACTTGTTTCTTCCACTTCCCTCCTTATGGTTTCTTGCATATATCCCTCATATTACCCATAAGTCAAGTTCTTAGGCCTCGCAACCAATCTCCAACAATTCTTCATCACTACTCCACCATCATAAACCAACTAAGCAAGCCTTATATGTCTTTTCCCATAAGTCTATGTGCTTAGCCAGTCGCAACCAACATACCTTTACCTAGTTCACCTCCCTTCACGTCTCTCCACATATTTCATGCATTCATCTTCATTCTTCAATAAAACTAAAACCTCTTTCTTAAATCAAAAATTCAAAATACTTAATAATACTTAAACACTTTCAAAACTAACAAAAACACTTCAACAAATCCAAACTTTTTTTCCTCTTGGCTTTTTCTTTTTAGACTTTTTTCAAAAGAGACATGTTAATTTCGTTCTACACAATACAATAATGCACGAGTCTCTAAAGGTCGATCAGAAACATAAACTGTTAGAACGTGAATTTAGAATATTCACTAAAAAACACCAACAAATCAACATTTTTTGTAAGACTTCGGCGAACTCAATAAAAAACTATTTTATTTTTTCCAATAAATCATTCATTCATTTTCCTTAGCAAGTAAGCTTTAGATAGACACGCCCTTCGAAACTAACAAGTGTAGTGGTTCCCGATGAGTACAACAAATTTAAGGAGTGCTAATATCTTCCCCTTGCATAATCGACTTTCGTACCCTTTCTCTTGGTCGCGAGATCATCTTATCCTTAATTTTGGGGTTTTCTCGATATTTTCCCTTCTTTTGGGATAAATAAAGTTTGATGGTGACTCTGTATTTTTTTCGCGGTATGACAAATATATAATAAGCATTTTACTAAAATTTGTATGCATTTCTTTTATTTATACAATTTTTTAGTTTATCGATTTGATTCTTCAACTTTGGCTGAGAAAAACTATTCTCCAAAAGTTTGAGCTTGCCTCAGAGATCCATAACAATTTTGTTAACAGTAGTTTCATTGGTGTTAATGCTAATCCAGTTTTTATGAACTTAGCTAGTGATTATCTTCATTGTAATAAAGATACATTTCTCTATAAGCATTTTAGTCTTTTTTTTGGGGGGGGGGGGGGGGGGGTGTTGATAAATAATTCTTTTCTTGAGATCACTTGGGATCCTTTCTTATTTCTATATGGTTTTTGTCGTAGAGAAATAGGTATGTCACTTGGAAGCCTCTTAGGTCACTTAATGTTATTCAAATTTTATTTTTGTTTCTTAGGAAATTACATGTTAAGAACCGAAAGATGATAATTAAGATTCAAAGAAATTTCCTACTGGCTAGAGTGGAAGGTGATTCTAAGATCTCTTAGGTTAAGTGGTACACTATTTGTTAGCCTAAGCAAATAGTTGGTATGGGCGTCCGATATATTCTCTTGGTAAAATTAGTTATGTTAGAGAAATTGTGTTGGAGTTTCCTTCAGATGCTTCTAGCCTTTGGTGTGATTTATTGTCTACTAGATATAGGAATTACAATGTTTCCTTCTTCAATGGAGTTAGGTTTTCTAGCTTGCATTATGCTTCTACATGGTGGAAAAATGTTTCTCTTCTTGGTTCTAAAGTTGACAATTCCTTTAATTGGTTTATGGATTGCCTTTGGAAGAAAGTTAGGATTAACCTTTTCACCTCTTTATGGGATAACCCTTGGTTAGGAAATCCCAATTAGAGCTAAGTCCCCTCAGATATTTAGTATTTCCAGTCACACAGATCAATTTATTAGAGAAGTTGGCTTTTAGGAGGATCAAGTCTTAGTTTAGAATATGCAGTGGAGGTGATCCCTTTTTGTTTGGGAACAAAATTGGTTTTTAATCTCCTTTTGGTTGTTTATGGAATGGCCTTCCATTTAAATAGAGACTGATGGTGTCTGCGAAATTGCAAAGATGGCATTTACTCAAAAAACTTGGCTTATACTTCCCTCTTGGAGGTAAAACTTGGTAATAGTTTTCCATCAATATAATGGACTTAGTTCTACCCCTTATTTGGGATAGTTAATATCTTTCTAAAGTGATAGTTTTCTCTTGGAATCTCTTTCAATACAAGATCCATACTAGAGAGAACTTGTTCAAACATAGATTTTTAATTTACCTGATAGATGCTTCTTATAATTTGTATGGTGAGTGATCCCTTTTGATATATGATATTTAGGTGGTTGGGATAATCTCTTTTTCTTCCTAGGGAATTTTCGTCAGTTTTTGAGGTGTTTATATCGCTTGATGGGGTGTTTAGGATTAAATGTGGTTTCTCTATGATTTTGTATTCAATTGTCTAATCTATTTAGAAATACTGGGACATTGTTATTTTTATTCAAGTATGACTATTGTCACGGTGCAAAAATACCTGAGTGAATAAACAGTTGAAATTCAATGAAGTTGACACAAAAGTTCATTTTTAAAGGGAAAACGTCGATAAAGCCCTAAAAGAACAAAAATATGCTTATCGCAACCAAATTCAGGTTCGAGAGTTAATTATGTGTGAGGGGAAGGTATTAGCACCCTACGACATCCGTCTTAATTATTACAATGTATTTTATAGAAAGAAAGAGAGGGAAAAATAACTTTTTTATTGGAGTTTGACAAGATGTGAATCTTTATTCTACCAATCCCTAAATGTGATGGGGAACTCAAAGTTACATAGCTCTAGGTAGAAAACATTTGTTTGTTAGTTGATTTTAATTGTAAAAACGAGTTTAATCATATTTGGATAACAAAAAGATTCATTGATTGAAAAAGACTCGCGCTTGGGTGATAAAGAGATTCGTTGATAAAGACTCACGCTTGGGTGATAAAGATATTCGTTGATAAAGACTCGCGCTCGGGTGAAAAAAAGAAGCTTCATTGGTTGGATTTGTTTTTAAGAGGAAGAAAAGTGTTCGAAAGTCAAGCTATACGACTTATATTTGAACACTCGGGAAAAAGGGATTTACATCCAATTAATTATTTATCATCCAAATTGAATTAGAAAATATGTGAGACAAATTGAGTCATGATTCCTTAAAGGAAGATGAGCATTTGAAAGGAATGCTATATAACTTGTATTTTAACACTAGGAAAAAAAGGATATACACACAATTAATCTTTTTTTTATCCCACGAAAGAATGAACTAAGTTCAATCTGTTTTTTAAATTTTGAGCGGGAGACAAGTGTTCAAAAGGCATGAAATACGGCTTGTATCCGAACACTCGGGAAAAAGAGGCATATACCTAATTAATCATTTTCATATGATGTTTGGTTTAGAAAATAATGAAGGGATCGACAAGTATTGTACTCAAACCATTCATGAGATAAAAACTTAACTAACTAATCTAATCTTTTAAAAAACAATTGTTATTTTAATTAAGTTATTTTGGGAATTTTCTTGTGACATATCTAATAATAATAAATGATAAAAACATGTAAATGGACCCCAAATGGCCCAACACAAAATTTCCTAAGTCAACACAATATTAATATAAATAAAAACTAAATCAAATAAGTAAATAAACAGAATAAAAAAGTGAGGTATATCAAGCAAACAAATGGGTGTGATTTAAGAAATCTGGAGGGCCTGAATCTCAGACCCACCAACACATTCAAAATAAAAAACAAAAAAACAGGCAAGGGTGAAATAGAGCAAAATGGGGATAGCAATCTCGTGGGTCTAAGGCCCAATCCACCCACAGTTTAAAAAATAAAAACAAATGAAGCAAACAAAAATGAAATATGCAACGAATCCAAAAAGGGGATGTAAAACTTGGGCCTAAAGCTCAATCAAGCAATTTTCACAAAAGGGAATTTCTTAGTACACCCTTATATAGGTGAAAAAATCCTCTGAAAACCCTAAAATACCCTTCAGATATGCATATCCGAACCCAAAAATCAATTTTCATGGTATTTCGGAGATGTGTATCTGAAAACCCCTTTTTTCACGTTATTATTACTTGAAAAACATTCAGTGATATTTTCTGATATCTGAAACACCCTGAAAATTGATTTTTGGATTCGTTTGGATATGCATCTCCGAAACCCTGGACATAATGTGTTACAACATAGTTTTTTATAAAACATCAATGTCGGTACCTAATAAACACAATGATTTGATACATAGTTTGTTTAAATAATATCGAAACACAAAAGTACCAAAAACCAAAAATGATACAAACATAAATTGTTTATAAATATTGGAAATTAGTACATAAATTATTTAGACAGTACGGAATGTAAAATGAATACATCGGTAAATAAAAAATGCATAGTCTACTGTGAATGTCTAATTCTAATCCCCTGGCCCCTCCTCTGCCTCCTGTAACCTGTTGCACTCGATGCCTCCCTAACCATCCTTTTTATGATGACCACCGCCTCAGGATCGCCCCTTTCAATGATCCCTAAGTCAAAGCCTTATGCATAATCAACTATATCCGTTGACAAATCGATAAGACATCAGCGGCATGGTCATCCTGGGCCTGCTGGTTCTCCAAGATATCCTCATGAGCTGGCTAAGGTGGACGTCTAAGAGAATCCAGTGTCATAATAGGTTGTGAAACTGTGTAGAACCATTTCATGTATCCCTCTACAGAATGCCAACTACTGGATGCCGCGTCATCAGGCACTCATGTGGAAACATATGATTCTCCCAATTCTTGAAGATACCATCGAGCTCCCGACGAAAAATGGTGTCGGGATCAGCCTGAAAGGGAGATCTGGGTAAGGTATGCACATAGTTAAATTTTCGGATGCATCGCTCTGAAAGATACATGACCATAATGTTGGCCTCACATGCCAGTCACACTGAGTATAATGAGATGGAGTTGAAGGGGATAATCTCCATGTGATCCTCAAACGGCGTCCAGAGGATGTCATCATGAACAGGTTGATCAAGATACACGAAGAACGGCGGCACAACATGATTCTTTTTATGGAGGATATACATGATAGCCCTTGACACCTCCTCACTATATTGTAGATCAAAATAGAAACCATGAATATGATGGAAGTGAGAAATGATCCGTCTCTGAAAAACGAATAAGAGATATGTCATAACAAATTATTAATAGAAAATTAAATTTAATAGTTGGAATGAAAGTTACCATGAGCAGTGTGCAAGAGCCTATTAGCTTCCTTGTCCTTCATTTAGAAGCTTCATTCAAATTTTGGTATAGGTATACTAAACAACCAGCCCTCAGTTCCATTCCCTAATTGTATCCAAATCTATAAAGTATTGGAGATATGCCACATCCATGTAGGTTGCACTTTTGTCCACAAAAATGGACATGTCAACCAGGAACATGAAGTAACACCACAAAGCACACTCGCAGTGGTACTGAGAAAAGAACTCATCACCCTCACTCTTGAAAGATATTATCGACCCAGGTGCTCTGCATATAGGTCACCCAAGAATAAGAACTTGGCAAGTGCCCCGTTAGTTGAGGAACATTGTTCCACTGCCTTTTCCGATTGAGCTCCCAGATACTCGGCCATCTATTCAATTGTTTCACCACGAGTAATCCGGGAGTGGTTAAGTAACATTCCTCTGATGGGAAGGTGTAGCAGGCATGTGACATCATCAACTGTGATCGTCATCTCCCCAACAGAAAAATGAAAAGATGATGTCTCCTTGTGTCATCTCTCGAAAAATGCCTCACGCGTTCCGTGGCTAATAGTAACGTAACCGAAATAACAATGTCTGACAAGTCTGAAGCTAAGAAAGGCCTCTCTGAACCAATCCACATTAGGATGATGTAAATCAAATATTTCCCGCACGTGGTTCATAGACTTTATGGGCAGTCGTTCCTATAAAAATAAATATTATTCTCAATGTTAATCGTTAACACATTTATGCGTAAATCATTTTAATGAAAAATTGTATTAAAAATATACCTCTTCATCCCAAACATGCTCTAAATCACCCAAAAATATCCCTTTCACACCCAAACAGACACATTTCACAAGTAATACTTCAACCAACTCAATTTACATGATTTTAAATAACATATTTTACATTTGCAAAGTAGAACATTGGATTCTGAGGAACTTACTAAAATTCGGAGCTTTGAAGTGTTGTTGAAATGGGTTAAAAATGTGCTTTGCTTCTTCAAAATGAAATTTGGTCTTGAATGGAGTTGAAAATGTTGCTCAAAGATTGCCAAAGAGAGAGTTGAAATAGAGAGGGTTGCAATATAGATAGAAATGTGAAATAGATGTTCTGTTTTGAAACTTTGTATATATTTATTATGCTTCAGAGATCCATCTCTGAAAACCCCCTATTATTAAATTATGAGATTGTTTCGGATATGCACATGCGAAACCCCCTGATGTTGATTAAAAGGTTGATTCACATGTGCATATCCGAATCAATCCCTCTAATAAATAATATGGTGAGTTCGGACATCCATATCCGAATTCAAAAGATATTATGGGGATTTCTCCAAAGGTCTCTAAGAAGGTATAAGGGTATACTAAAAAATTTCCTTCACAAAATGACAACACCTAACCCTAATTTTAAAATGAAAGGAGATGGATGCCAAGGATACAAATGGCCGCCCCTTTGTATTTTCAAAAAGAAGCAGAACCTAAAATCTCCCATACTCTCTCTCTCATTTAACATTTTCTAGAAAAAACGAAACTCACCATCCATGGCTCTTTCTTCTCCCCCCACCCTCATCTTTTTCGTCCTTCATCTATTTTTCAGAGACAGGAAAAAACAAATAAAACACTATCATTCTCTTCATGCGATTTGCTTCTCCCTCACTCTCTCCGCTCTTAGAGTAATTTCTTCCCACAAAAAACAAGCCATACCCATTTTTTAGCAAAACAAAATCTAGGTTCTTCTTTAAAATCAATCGCAAACACATATTTTCACATTTCAAGCTCAGAAAAATATATATACGTTATCGAAAATCAAACATACAAAGCTTAAGCACTCAAAACAGAATAGAAAAATCATGCTCACGAAGTTAGATTCACAAAAGAAAAAAATATTACCAAGCTACGAAGGTTGATACATTATTGTTATTGTGTCATATTCAATTAATGAAAGTTGATTAAGGTTATTTTATAGGGGTTTAATGGTGGTACGACAAAGAATGGATGATTATCAGTGGTGATCTGAAGAAGATTGCTTGAAGAAGAATTTGAAGATTTGATTTCACATTCAAGAAGAAGAGAAGAAAGAATTGGTTTTCATCTCTCTTTTTTGTTATGTGATTTTCTTGTAAATTTTGGCCCCTCTTTTCTTCTTCTACACTTAGTCTTTTATAGGCTAGATTTAGGGGCAGAAAGTTTGTTATCCATTTTTTTATTTTTTTGGGTGAGTTGTCCAATTGGTTAGAACTTAGAAGGTTGATATATTGAGTGAGTAGTAGAGTTAAAAAGGTGTGATAAATTGCAAAGATGGTGGGAAAAATGTTGGCCACGTGAGAGAAAGGAATGAAGGAATGTTGAGATATTTTTCTGGTTTTTGTCTTTTAGTGCCTTCTAGCTTATATCACTATTTTGTACTTGATAAACAAATGAATAAAGGGTAAACCAAATTATTATGATTATTATTATATGTTAATTTTAAGTAAGTGAATGGTAGATAAATGTGAAAAATGAATGCAAAATCGAGGATGAAAATGGATGCCATTCATTATTTTAATCGAGAACTCCGCCCAATTAAAAATGCTAAAAACTATATAAGTGCACCATATTCACTTAAGTGTAACAACAATTAAATATTATTTGACCTGGAATATGACATTCCTCAATCTTGCGCGCAATTAAAACGCACGTATTCGTTTCAAAATGATCATTTAACAATAAATATTTCTTAAAAAATTAATTAAAGAAAGCAAAAAAGAAAGAAAATGTCCATACAAAATTAGTGTACGACTGCCGCCCATATTTAATTATTTTTAAATAGAGTATATGAATGATGATTGTTTATATAATCATTCTGAAATATATTAAATATAAAAGATTCATATTTTGTCCTTCGATAAGTGGAAAGAAAGAGATGACAAGAATCTCGAAATATCGCCTCTTATAGGGAATATGAAAGATCATTTTCGCTAAGAGGGTTGGTGTCTAGATCGACAACAAGATCGTCATCAACACTTGGGTTAATACCTAGATCGACAACAAGATTGTCATCGACACTTAGGTTAATACCTAGATCAACAACAAGATCTTCATCAACACTTGGGTTGATACTTAGATATATAACAAGATCATCATCAACACTAGAGTTGATATCTAGATTGAGAATGTAAAAAGGCTGCTAGAAATATCCACCAATGATTTATCAAGAAAGTTGCAAGGGAGACTCGCCAAGGAATGGTTATAAGGGAGACTCACTAGGGATTAACTAGGAAAGTTTTACTAGGGAAGACTTTCAAGAGAAACTCACTAGGGAGAACACTTTTTGAGGAGAAAATCTCTTGGAGACACTTAACGAGGAGTCTTACTGGGGAAGTTTACTGATGAGATCCACTAGGAATAAAAAGATTAGATAACTGGTGTCAATGGTAACTTGGTTTTGGATGCATCTGAAAAATGAACATGGTTCGTATTATTCGATATGATTGCTTGATGTTTATGAATACTTGGCATAGCGCACTGAATATGGAGATGTGATAAGATTTAAGAAATGCATGAAGTGTGTTGATTTTGGTAGGTGCCAATGAAGATTGAGCTTTTAATAGGTGTCAAGCGAGGTTAGGATTTTGTAAGGTGTCAAGCGAGGTTGGGATTTTTATAAGGTGCCAACCGAGGTTTGGCTTTTGTGAAGTGCCAAATAAGGTTGGGCTTTGAGAGGTGCTAAGCAAGGTTTGACATTTTGTGTTTGATTTTTTGTTTGTATTACAAGGATTTCAGGTCTTTGACAAATGTGTGATGCCAGATATTGTCAAGATAGGTCATGATACATAAGATGAAACACATGGTTTTATGTTAGAGAAATGCAAACATGATTAATGCAATAGTGATGTGAACCTGGTCGACGCAAGACCAATGCAATTATATAATTATTGTCAAGAGAAAATGTGTTTCAAGAAATATTGTGCTAACTTAATCTCCCAACACCCATTTTGAACTCAAAATTTACTGGTATATTGTAGGATTTACTTGAGCACCTTGAGGTATGAAAAACTTGTCCTTATTATTTATGCATCTTAACTTGTCTCAGTTTGCTATATCTGTCGTACCCCAAATTTGTCCCACCATTCATAAGTTCTAAACACAATTTTTTTTCTTTCGAATAAGTATAGTGGTTTAACAGTAAAAACGAGGTAAGCATTACGAGTATGGAAGGACCTGAGTCCAAATCCTACCATGCTTATTATTTTTATTTCCTTACTTCATTCATTCTTAGTATATATATATATATATATATATATATATATATATATATATATATATATATATATATATATATATATATATATATATATATATATATATATATATATATATATATATATATATATATATATATATATATATATATATATATATATATATATATATATATATATATATATATATATATATATATATATATATATATATATATATATTAATTTTTAATTTTAATTTTGTTTATTATTATTGTTAATATTCGTTATTAGTTACTTTTTATCAATATCATTTAGTTTAAATCAAGTTCATTAGCTAAATTAATTAGTTTTATCATTATTATCATTACATTTATTTTTAGCATTATTTTTTTGTATTGTCTATGATTTATTTAATTTTTTTTTTCTGCATCACTTTTACTATTATGCTATTCATATAATAAAATCATTACTATAGAATTAGAATTAGCATAGAATAGAACCATATTATTATTGCTATAGGTTATTAGAATTAGTATCATTATTTGCATTATTGAGTCAAAGTCATAAAAAATAGAAGAGCTGCATATGGTCATGTTGTGAGAAGAAGATTGTATTGAATCAACTCAAAACAGAAACAAAACATTCCAAACACAGAAACAGAAACAGAAACAAATTAATTGGCAGACCAATTTTATTTATTTCCTAAAAAAAACTTATTTCATAATCAATACAGATTAATTCTAAATATAAATTACAGACATCTTAAATCATTTCCAAATATAAATTACAGACACCTTAAATCATTTCCAAATCTATCAAAATTTCACACTTACTGCATCTCTTTTTTTTTTCTCTCATCAATTTTCACCGCAAAAGAAAAACCATATCATAATACCAACTTTACAAGTTCTTCAAACAAACCTCCATTAACAGAACCCAACCATAAACCAAATTCCTCACAAATTCATAACCTATTCACCATCCAAAATCATTCAACCTCTAAACAAAATTCATAAACCATTATCATCTGAAAACCATACTCATTAGGCTAACACAAGTCACTACCTGCAAATTACCAAAACTAACATTCTCACAAACAACAATGACAATGCAAATCTAAAAAACAGAACCATGATTCTTAGAGAAATTAATTAATTTTCTTGCCTTACTGTGCACATACATTTGAAAAGTCCTCTTAATTTATCCTTTTTCTTTTGTTAGTTTGTTGTGATAAAAAGAAAATAAAATCTATCATTATAAGTTAAAAAGGGCAGCGCCCTGTATTGGTTTTTTTTATTATTTATTGTTTTTTATTTATTTGTTATATTAAATCCATTTGTTTAGAATTAGGTTTTAGTAATGGGCCTTTTGTTTCTAAATTCATCCATTGTACTTTAATTTAACATCCTATTGCTTGTTTAAATTATACATATTCCTGATTAGTTGTAATTAACTTAAATGAATTTAGGTTAGTTAATTTCGTATTCTATTTAAAAAAATGTTGAAAGTAGGAACAATAGTTTTATTATTTTTGGCTTTTTTTTTTTAAAAAAAGAACTTTTTACATAGTTTAATTTTTTCGATTAAATTCAAAATAAATTATGTATGCTAATTAAATTAATTAATATTCTAAAAAGATGTTAAAACTCACGCAATTCTAAATATTTCATCTGCGAACGACACATGGCCAATATTTGGCCACGTGATAAGGGAGACTTCATCAAACTCCCTCTGTATCCTTCATGACGAGCAACACGTGGACAAAATGTGGCCACGTGAGGAGAAAGACTTTATCAGACTTCTCTCGCCCTACGTCTCAAAACAACTAACCAACATCAAAATATTTTTCGACTAACATAATAAAATTTCCATATTATTTTCAAAAAAGATTAAATAGCATTGCCTTCGAATTAACTGCGAATTGCTCTATAATCACTCAATTTCAAACTCAGACAAGGTTCAAGGATAATTCAAAAATAATTCTACGTGATCCATAAAAAAACAAACCCGCAAACTATGAAATGAGACTCTGATTCTTCCTAAGAGATACGTAGGCAGGCATACAATCAAAATCGTGGCGAGTCCCCATATCTAAAATTCAAACTCTTTTCCCCTATTAATAATAAAAATCCTATTTCCTAAACATTGCGCTTCTGAACCTAGTATCCTTGCGAACAAGGTAGATAAGGGGTGTCTAACACCTTCCCCTCGTCTAAAACTGAATCCAAATCTAGAATCTCTGAATTTTAGGATTATTCCTTTATACTCAATTCCTTTAGGATAAAAATTAAGGGTGA